CTCAAATAGGGAATCCAGCCCATGGCAGCCAAAAGGTTGGACCACAGTGCTCTTAAAGCATGTTAATTGATTTCTGCATATTTCAAACACCCGGCTATCCTCAACAAAAGTCAATAAAAAGTCGAAATATATCCAAGGCATATTCACTGCTCTTAATGTTTCTTTTTTTGGCACTCAATTATCTGCTACTTTGTATACGGAAGGAGACATAAACTGGAACACTAATCATGGAAAATTTGAAACTATGTATATATATATAAACATGTGCGTATTATATATATATATACACACATGTTCCTCATGAATGATTTAAATTGAATATTCCTTATTTGGAGTATTTGACTCACAGCTTAGTTTCATCATCATATACCGTTTGCTTTTGAGACAGGGAACCAGTTGTTTTTTTTGGTCACCTAGTTGTCTGACACATACAGAAACCCATTAACAGGATCCAGTCCAGGGGAAGAAGGTTGGAGGCAGATCAGGGTCCAGCTTTTATACCATTTATATAGCACATTTCATATTGGGAAGACTTCCCAAGGTGCTGGACAGTCAAGGGTTTGCATCCCCCAGCTTGGAGTCAAGAGGGATGGAGGTCAAGGGCAGTGGTGGTGGAAGATGACCAAAGGCACAGTTGAAGAGGAAGTTTTTGACATGGGATAGGTAGGAATTGGGTGATCCAATAGACTGGAATACTAGGAGGAAAAATCTCCTTCCATCAGAATAAAATAACCTATGAACAGCAACAAAAGGAAAATTATAATTCCTAAAGCTGTAAGAAATTTTGTTATTTGAAACAAGTACATCTTTCTTCCAGCACCATGGGTGGCTAACCTGATTGAGAAAAACATTGGTTAAAAACAACAGTTAAGCCATTCGAATGATCCTGGAACCCAATTAAAACCAGATGGTGGAAGGTGTTTCTCAAAGGTAGCAGTGAATAGCCTAAGGACATAATGCTAGGAGATCCCTGAAGCATTCCCTTATGGTTGACTGCAGCCTATTTCCAAGATTTCAAAACCAATAGTGATGGCTCCTTGGAGACTGGAACCCATTTGAAAGATAGCAGGTGTGAGAGCATCTGTTATGAAAGCCCACAAGCTGCTAAGTCTCACAATTTCAGTGACTTCCCGTTGAATGCAGCCATTGATCGAGCACAACATGAATGGACTTCTCACGTGTCCAAGCCTCCTGTCCATCATATTCCTTGTTGATGCCACGATATCGTGCCTATCTTCCTGGTGCTCTTGCACTTGAAACTTAAAGATGATCCCTGCATCTTTCCATCCTTCATCTGTGGCAACAGGGTTAGAATTTATGCATTTAGTTTTTGCCTTATCCAGTGGAAATAGTTTTGTGCCCACACTGAGAAATCATCCTATCCCAGGGTGAGTGACAAATGTCATGAGTGAGGAGCAGAGAGGAGGGCGTAGGTAGAGTACTCCACAGATACCCAGAGATGTGGTGCTGGGATGAGTGCAGATTACATGTGCAATACAGGCTTTGACTGTGCTTGACTCCAGTTGACCAAGGTATTGATTGAAGCAAATGGAGAAATATTAGCAGAGTATATAACAATAAATAGGTATCATCTCATCAAAGCATTAGTCTGTCTACATAAATTATGGAGGGGACAATACTGCAAATCAAGTAGGTAATCCACGTGATGCGCCACAGAATGTAAAGTGTTACATTGTGGTCTTCACAGAAAATAGATTGTAGCAAAACACTGTTATTTCAGTCCTAATTATATTAAAAGAATGAAGCGAGACAAAATTCTCATTCCTTGTTCTTGCCATGCACATCCAATACTTGCTATCTCTTGTAAGCTTGCTTTTGGCCATATTTTTGAAGAATGGTCATTAGAGAGAAATACTTCTGTCCTCCTCTCCGTAAGTAAGGAGGATTCTGGACTGATTAAATAAACAAGGAATACAGTAGGGGACATATTCTGGAAGGATAAGATTAAATGGTCACAGGGACTTCTTCATTAAAATCTCTCTTGCAATTGTGCGATACTTCAGCTTCAGATACTTTGCCTTATAATATAATATGCCTTACTCCACACGCCTAATAATAATCCCTCCAAAACAATAATAAATTGGTAATTTTCAAACCATGACTGTTTGTGGGACACTGCTGTGCGAAATTCTCTTCTGACTTAGAAGAAAGCTACAGTACATTTCTGGAACATGTTGGAGAGTGCTTTGAATCTAACTTGTGTCAATAATAATAATAAAATAATAATAATCCTTGCATTTGATATACCGCCTTATCGTGTCATTGAGACATCTCAAAGCACTTCACAGAAAATACCGCAAAGTGAATTGACTGTATGTTTTGCGGTCGAAACAATAAGATTCAGATTCAAACGAATCATGTTCAGAAGTTAGGATGAGGGATCATTCATATGATTTCAGCAATGTTGTATATTGTTTCACTCTCCCAATGCATATTCTGAGGACCCCAAGCCTTGGTTCTAGTCAACCTGTGCATATTACTTCCTGGAATTAGGTAAGCAGGATGCGTCCCTCTAGGGAGAGAGTGCTCATTCCATTGCAACAATTTATCTCTGGGATTTCCATGTGAAGGTGGGATGCATGGAAATCTCAGCTTGGTTTGGATACTCTCAAACATGGTGATGGGTTTCCACATGTGGTAGACACCAGCTGACCAAAAAAAAATCACTCTCCAGCACTGTCATCCTCCACTTTGATGAATTAAGCTTTCTTTGAATTTTAAACAGACATCCTTTTTCAAGGTACACTGAATTCTGAATGTTACAAAGAGATCCATACCTTTACTGATATGTGTCCCATCACCCTGTTTACATTTTTATACTTTAAAAGTTTCACATAGAGGCAGCTTGAGAGAATGATATCATGGAGTTCCTCTCAGGGTGACACATTTCCACTTTAAAGGAACAATATTGCAATGAATATTGTGCTGCTGTTAGCAGTGAGGTGAGAAACCTGAAACAGAATGAAGTGAGAACAGGAAGCCTGCTCTGTCACAGACCATGTATAATATGATTAGAAAGAATAAATTGAGGAAAGGCTTTTAATGCCATGTTGGGGTGTTGAAAAAGAGGCCATTTGGCCAAACTCACCCATCCTGGTTTGTACTCCATGTGAGCCCCACCATCAAATCCCTCTCCCATGCTCCTCTATTCCCTTCTCACTCATTTAAACTTCAAGTTTCCATTTTAATATCTTGATGCTTTCTGGTTCAGCTACACTTCCGGCAGTGAGTTCCACATTCTCATTAACGTCTGCATAAAGAAACTCCCTTTTGGGTCTGCTTCTGGCAATCAGATATTTAAGCTCCTTTATTTTGGTCTCATCAACAAGTGGAAACAGCCTTTTTAGGTTCATCTTATCTATCCTTTTATAATGTAAACAACTCTAGCAGGTCCCATCTCAATCTATTCACCCCCGGTAGTATCCTATAAACACTGTTTGCATATTATGTATTTTATTTAGAGAAAGTAAATGTACACTAGAGATTAAGCATCTTATTCCATGTGTCAGGGATACCTAATAATTCCACAAGCAGGGTATGAATGACCTTTGAGGGACATAAATGGGGAAACAACAGGGAAGAGGATTAGAGAAGATAACTCCAGTGGGGCAGATGAGTACCAATACAGACACTATAGGCCAACTGTCTTCTTTGCTGTAAGCTCCCTCTATACATGAATTATCCCATTCTGTGTATTCATGAAGTATTCACACTATGAATTATCCATATACCAGAGACTTGGGGTATGAACCCACAGCCTTCTGACTCAGAGTCTGAACTCTAAAGTACTTTCCCTTTGTGAGAATAATATAATGTATTATCATGTTGCAAAAAATTGCATACTTTTAACAAACATAATAGCCATAAACTAAATGAAAAGGGCCTCATGCACAGTGCAATAACTAAAAAATATATTGCAGTGATAGGTCAATAATTCTACTGATTTTGAAAATACTGTATATTGTGTTATATTCTTTCCGGGTGTCTGACACATGAAGAACTTCATCCCCATGCTTAAGAGTATCCAAACAAAACTGAGAATTCCATGCATTACACCTACACATGGAAATCCCAGAGATATTTATATTGTTGTGAAGTTAGTGAATGCTCTAAGTACATTGATAAAGTATGACACAACGTACCTCCTATTAAATCTTTAACTTAAGAGTTCTTAAACAGATGGTCACCCGATAGGAATCTTCATCCTACTGGAAATAAACTGGAATCCAACACTGAGTTAAGCACAGCGATCATTATAATTGCACATATTGTGTTGTTTCCTGTGCATTTGTTCTCTGACCTACTTTAGAAACAACTTGAAGTGCTCAGCTGTTATCTACCAACATTAATTTAGATCATTGATTAAAAAAAGCATCCAATTGCTGCAAGCCTGTACACAATGCTGATACATTTTGCCCACAAATTATAGTCAATTCACTTTACAGTATATTTTGTGAAGCACTTTGAGACATCTGAAAGATGTGATAAGGCGCTATATCAAATGCAAGGATTATTATTATTACTTTTGCAAGAGCGCAAAGCTTAATTTTGCACATACATCTCTTTGTTCTCAAAGGGTGTTTTAAAATAACATGGCAATAATTTATCTGAGCACTAAATGAGCATTAACCCCTCCCACAATCCTCAGAGTACTGATTAGCCTTGTGAAAATTGCCCCATGAATGGATGCTCCCCTTAAGACTTGACCATATTAAGTGAGCGGAAAATGACTCTCTAACTTCAAAGCTGCGGGATGCCTCCCCCAAACATCTCGGTAAAACCTTGCAGCGGAGAATGCTGTTTTCTAAGGAAAACTGCAGCATCTCCAAACTCTTCCCACTTAATGGGGAAGGAAGCACAGGACAGTGTAGGTGGGCTGGGGATGGTGAATGAGATGAGATGAGATGAGATGAAAGTCCTGGTGACTCTTATTGTGAAAGCGATCACGTGGACATGTGTCTGTCGACAGCAACAACAGGAGGTGATCTGATCAGAGATGCTGAGCTGAGAGCAGAGAGATCACCAACACATCCCACTGCAGACCACAGGCTCTCTCTCTCTCTCTCTCTCTCCCTCTCCCACAGACACACACACAAGGCTTTGCATTCACAGAGTACCAGAGAACTCGGGCGGTTGCATTGGCCATTGACGAGACCATATCTCTGCGAGACAAAGGCAAACCCGAGGCTTTCATCACACCGGCAATGTGGACTTGGGGAACCGAAGCATCCTCTGCACCACATTAAAATAAGAAGAATCTCTTCCAAAGGTAATGGACGCATTTTGCTCGCCCCACTTCTGCACAATTCCGTGTCCAGGTAAACGGGTGTTAACGAATGGTTGAAATGTACGCCGGTGTGTGGATACAGGGTCGGCGTCGCTTTGCATAAATGAATAGGTTCGTGATTTTTTTTGGGGGGGTAAAAATAACCCACTCCAGGTTATGCAACTTCGCATGAGAGAGGGAATGACATGGGCTTCTCGGAGCGCACCCAGTGGCCACCCCGTTACCATGTAGCTGGTAATGTGAGCGAAGAAGGCAGGAGCCGCACAGAGCTCCTCATTCCCATCCCTTTGCAACGGGAGAGAGTGGGGGAGGAGGAGAGTCTCCTTCTGAATCTCATTTCAATAGTAACCATCAGTCTGGTCTGTGCTTCGAGACATTTCCGTGACGCGATTAAGGCGCTAATATCAGACACAGGGATATGTTTATAAGACATCAGGTGCGTTGTGCTGCATCAAAACAAGATGCCAACTGTTGCTAATCTGCTCCCGGGCCGTTCCAAACATCTTCGCGTCTAAAAATATGTTTTTTTTTTAAAAAAAAAATTCAAAAAGTAATTGCATCTCAGGAGAGCTTAAAAGTTTGAGAAGGAAGGAAGCCTCCGCTGCGTTAGCGTCTCCGCACACGATTCGGCATTTATTGTGCATTGCGATTGGCTGAAACCAAACGTTTTGCGTTGTGTGACTTCCCACGGATGGGATTTGCTGTCCGCCGCTGTGGTTTGGCCGCTGTGTACTGCGGCAAAACGCAGAAAGAGAGAGAGAAGAGAGAGAGAGAGATCCCTCTTTCTGCAATCTGGGGGATTGAGGGCAATGCTACTCCCAGTCTCTGCTGAGGGAGGCACGACGCGGATTCCCTCCCACTGGCATATGGAGTGAGATTCCGCCGACCTTTAAGATGCCACATTGAGGATGATGGATGCAGTGGGATGGCTGGGGAGCGGTGACATGTTACTTCCAACTTCTGCTGTCCACCCCCTTTGGGGAGTTCACAAAACCCATAAGTCACTGGTTAATGGACAGCTCGCTATGGGTTTGCCCACCTCAGCTTTCTGCGCTGGGTCTGAGATTCATTACTGAGCTGCAAAGCTGCCGGGAATGGATAAAACCCAGTCAATAACTGTGCTATTGACCGGTTGCTGGTCTGGGTTTTATTCATTGTCCCAAGTTCAATGAACGCTGAGATGCAGCTTAAACTCAGGGCATTGGCATAACTTTCAGCTTTCGACAGACAAAACTGCGCCCTCAGCTCTTCGCCAGGACCGGGGGGAGGGAAGAGGGCTTTTTGGAGAGGACTTTTAGTGAATTGGTCAAATTCGTTTCCCTTTTTTTCCCCATCAAATCATAATAACGGCCGCCCTTAATAACACTTTTGAATTTAAAATGAACCCAGCGATGTCTTAACAGTGTGGTCTATTTGGGCTCTGGAAGAAAGGCGAGGAAATAGAGACCTTTTATAAAGCAGTTTGCCAGAGGAAAATGAGGATAAATCGGCCCGTTTTATTCACGATCAAGACTTTTTCCTCTTTCACTCTCGCAGTTCTGATTCCGCCTTCTCTCTCCTGAAACCTGGGAGGAAAGTGTTTTCATACGGATTGCGGGTTTAATAAGACCCCCTCCTCCCCCCCAACCATCCCCACCTGCCCCCCCACCTGCCCCCCCTCAATGTGCTTCCCTCGCATCCAGTGAAATAAAATCGCCTTTTTCAATGCTGGTGACACATCATCGGTGGTCTGTCATCACCAGCTCTCATTCTGGTGACATTTAAAAATAACAGCAGCAAATAAAGCAATCCTTCTAAAAGGAACAGCTGCATAAATATGTACTATATGTGTGTACATATACACAGTATCAATAATAATTCATCAAAACCAATGCAAGTTTGCAGCCTGGATGTGGCCCCAATGCTATCATTGTTCTCTAATTCTGGGATCAGCACTTTGTGGTAATGCTGAGTTTGTTATATCATAACATTTATTATTGACGAGTACCAAAAGGCTTGCTTGGCTAGAGCTGGTGTTATTATTAGACTGAGATGGGTTAACCTGAAGTTGCTGGGGAAGATTTTGCTGTGCGCATTTGGCCGCCGCGTTTCACCCACGAAATATACAGTCAATTCACTTTACAGTATATCCTGTGAAGCGCTTTGAGACGTCTCGAAGACGTGATAAGGCGCTATAACAAATGCAAGGATTATGAATATTATTAACATCGGCTCTCAGTTTGGACCTTGGATTTAAAATACTCACTCGCCTCGACATTACGGTTTGCACAAAATCATCATTTTCCTTGTAGGAGAAATGAGCAGCTCAGTGTCAGAAATCCAGCTACGCTCCTCAGATAAATACTGTACCTTTTGAGAATATATCTGACTATTGTACATACTGTACACTTATAGATTAGTAATAGGGGAGAAAGCGTCGTTTGTCTACAGTTGGACAAACCTATCCCATTGATCTTCGATTGGTGTCTGTAAAGTGCTGACCCGCTCTGGGGACAATATGGGATTAATTGCTCTCTGCCAAACCTCTGGCTATTATTTCGACGCTATAATTCTTCGAGGAGAGCAGCAAGATGGGAATATGCAAAATATATGCGAGACAAAAAAAAAAGCAAAGCATTGTTTAAAAAAAGAAGTACCTGGTATCCTGAATATAATACCTTGCCTTTGCATGTTTTTCTCTCTTCCTTTCTCTCTCTCTCTCTGTGTCTGTCTCTGACTAATCGTGTCGTGATTAGGTATACCCAGTATCAAAGGGTTACCTCTTAACCTGGACTGCTGGAGAGCAAATTCATTGCCTGCTTCTCCGTGATAATCAAATGCAAACGTTGGACACTTGTTTCTCCGGTTTGCAGCTGTGTTTTAATGCTCACGAGTCAGATGAAAACGTTTGACGAGTCCAGCAGCAGCACCAGTCGTTAATATATCCAGCCAAGCCAACCGTGTGAAACTCAATTAGATTTGTTTGAACTTTAATGGTTGCAGCCCCTTATTTAACCCCCCCCCCACCCCACACACACTGTATCTGTTGCTGAATATTAGCATCAATGGTTTGCATTGATGTACCAACACCGTATAACGCAGCAAATGATCGATTGGATCGTGATGTCGGGGGGAAACGCAATCATTCCGCTAAAATAACCCCTATGCATTTTCTGCTGCTTCTACTCAATTGCAGAAATGATGGACCATAACATGCATAAAATGGCCGCATGCGGGTGGTTTGTTTTATTTGATTTGATTTGATTTGGGGGTGGGGTTACGTGGTGGTCGGCCGGATCTTAAATCTTGCTTTGAATGGGGTAAAATCTCCTGAAATGCAATTCAGCGGCAATGCAAGAGAGAGGGGCGAAAAAAAATTAAACGCTACTTTCGGCGATACCCGACTGCTGCTGATAACCCGCGGGAGTGAAAGATCGGAGCGTGAAGTTACAAGACGGGAAATGTTAAACCATCTGAAGCGAGTAAGGATGCCCCGTTTAAAAGTATTGCAATAACGCCCACACCCCTCTGCCTGCACCGAGGCAGCCAGTCATTAAACCACTGTGAGCCGGAGCTGCACTACTGCCCGAAATGGGCAGCGATGCTTTGTATCGAAAACCAATTATTTCATTGCCTCGGCGATATATATATATATAGAGAGAGAGAGATACTGTATATATATATATAACATAAATCAGGATTGTATTGTTAGAATGAATATTGGACTAATGCCCAACAGTGATGGGCGAGCAGCGTTGACCACTTCATCTGAGACACTGTGAAGCCACCCACCCACCCACCCACCCATTCACTCTCTTCTACAGGATTTGCATCCCTTCTGTTTTAAAAATAACACTAGGTTTGGGAACTCAGTCAGGGAGTGCCAGTGATTTTTTTTGGGGGGGGGGAGGGTGGTGTTGTGTGTGGACGGTGATTTGTATTGTTTGTTGCTGTTGTTTGAGAGAAAGTGCTCGGTTTCTGCTCAAGTCGAGGGTCTGAAGGATGAACCCAAATGGACAGATACTGTGCACATAAACAGGCTGTGTCTTGTCAGTCCAGGGACCCAGCAAGAGGGTTAAACCTTTAACTGGTGCCTGTTGACGTCAAGGAAATTAAAACGTGCTGAGATGCACCGCCTGCTCTGTGGGTGGTGGTGGTGGTGGGGGGGGGCAGAGGACATCAATCTGTCAATGGCCAGGCAGAGTGCAACACTTCTTTGTGGAAGAGAGGAGGGAAAGCGAGAGGGAGGATATAAAAAGGATCCAGTTTGGACGTGGGATGTTTGCAGCTTGGAAGGGAGGGAGGGAGGGAGGGACGTAGCAGTGAAATGCTGGATGACGCCAGTCGGTGCCCCAGTCTGGCAGATCACTGCTCTCTATGCAAAACCAGTCCACACGTAACCACATCCCCAGCGCCGCTCAGTGCCTTAAATACCAGTACCAGCCAGAAACTCCCCGCAGCCCTCAGTGAGCAGCGGTGCGGGCTCTCTCTCTCCCTCCCTCCCTCCCTCCCTCCCTCCCTCTCTCTCTCCTTCTCCTCTCTGCAAACCTTCTCTTCACCACAATGAGCAGTGGAGATTGAAATTTTTTTTTTTTTTTTTGCAAAAAGTCAAGGCGATTGAACACCAGGATCGGCACACTATTCCATGCTGTTGTACCTTAAGGTAATTGGGGAATTTGTGTTGTTGTTGTTGTTGTTGTTGGAAAAAGAAAAGAGTGGAAAGCTTTCGGTTTTCTCGTATCTAACGTGCGGAGAGGTTTTTGTTCGAGAGAGAGAGAGAGAGTGTGTGTGTGTGTGTGTGAGATGGGGGAAGAGAGTGCCTTTTGACGAGGGCAACAGGGCGGTTGCACTATCTGCAGCGATTGCCACAGCCGGTGACCCTGCACTACCCCGGACTGTAAAAATGGGCAATTGAATGAACGCCACACACTCACTCACTCACTCACTCACTCACTGGCAATAAGGCAATTGCATCACAGTGTTATATCCAGAGCCGCTCTGCTCGACCCTGCTCTGCCCGGCTGCCTGGTCCAGATGTGCTGGGCTGGGCTGTGCTGTGCTGTGCTGGGCTGGGCTGGGCTGCTGGGCTGGGCTGTGCTAGGCTGGGCTGTGCTGGGCTGTGCTGTGCTGTGCTGGGCTGTGCTGGGCTGTGCTGGGCTGTGCTAGGCTGTGCTGTGCTGGGCTGTGCTAGGCTGTGCTGGGCTGTGCTAGGCTGGTGGGCTGGGCTGTGCTGGGATAATAAGCATTTCTTTCGCGGATCGGTCTGCAAATGCACTCCCCGTCAGATCCATCGAACGCAGCGGCGCCACAGATACATCTATCGTTATCAGTCTTTTTACATTTTTTTTAAACTTTTTTTTTGCTGCTGCTTTTGCAAATGGCGTGGGCGTGAATTTTGAAAGGTACTGATCTCGAGCTTTTGCTTGTATGTGTGGTGCTAAATCTCCCAGATGTGTGGGTGTGTGTTTGTGTGTGTGGTTTCTTATCTCCTTTGAATCATTCAGATGTGTGTGTAATTTTTTTTCTTTCTACCCTTCCGGCTCTATCTATATCTATAAGGTGTTAAGCTTCAGTGTCCCTGCAAGATGCCGGAACAGAGTAACGATTACAGGGTGGTGGTGTTTGGAGCTGGAGGTGTGGGCAAGAGCTCGCTGGTACTGAGGTTCGTGAAGGGGACATTTCGGGAGAGCTACATCCCCACCATCGAAGACACCTACAGGCAGGTGATCAGTTGCGACAAGAGCATCTGCACTTTGCAGATCACGGACACCACAGGTAGTCACCAGTTTCCAGCCATGCAGCGCCTCTCCATCTCCAAAGGGCACGCGTTCATCCTGGTATACTCCATTACCAGCAAGCAGTCGCTGGAAGAGCTCAAACCCATCTACGAGCAGGTGTGCCAGATCAAGGGGGAAGTGGAACACATCCCAGTCATGCTGGTGGGCAACAAGTGCGACGAGAGTCTGAGAGAGGTGCAGGCCAGCGACGGAGAGTCCCAAGCCAAGCGTTGGAAGTGCGGCTTCATGGAGACCTCGGCCAAGACCAACCACAACGTGAAGGAGCTATTCCAGGAACTGCTCAACCTGGAGAAGCGCAGGGCAGTCAGCCTGCAGATCGATGGCAAGAAATCCAAGCAGCAAAAGAGGACAGAGAAACTCAAGGGGAAGTGTGTGGTTATGTGAGTGAGCTCTTGGCACAAGAAAATAAGCAACTCTAAACCACCCAATACCTTTTCGGATCATAAAACACAACACACAAACACACACATACCGAAACCAATACAAATAAATCAAGCTGAGAAAGTAAAGGGAAAATGTGTGGTTATGTGAATGAGCTCTTGGCATAAGAAAATAAACCACGCAAACCACCCAATATCTTTCCGGATCATAAAACAGCAACACATTACATTTGTATAGCACCTTTTACTTTGGGAGGATGTCCCAAAGCACTGAGTCACACAACAACAAACACAACAAACACAGCAACAACACAACAAACACAGCAAAAACACAACAAACACAGCAACAACACAACAAACACAGCAACAACACAATAAAACACAAAAGACAACAAAATCAAACTGAAAGGCAGGCGATCGATCCGATCGATCAGACTGTTCAAACAGAAAGAATTACGCCAAGCAATGGATTCACCTGACACCAAACCCTTTCCTTTTTTTCATTGAAGCAAAAGAATTTTAAAAAATGTTTAAAAAAAAGTAGCTATAAGTACCTTGCGGAAATATTATGTTTCTTATGCAGGATATGTGTATTTGCCAATGATATAATAAAGAGACCGAGCTACATTCTTTCTAATAAAAGGAACACAAGTGCAAAATAAATATTTATAAGGCAGTACTAAAGCACACTAACACTCATCTTGTCGTGTTCTATCGCGATTTTATTTATTAAATGCATAAGTGTCGAGTTCACAACAAATAGCACCTTATTAATGCTACAGATGTTTCGAAATGTGACACCAGAGAGTAGATTTTTTTTAAAAAAGCAATGGGGAGAAATTGCTCCCATCAGGATGGCAAAAGGAAGCGGTTTAGTTGATTTAAATGCTATTTATATGATTACGCATTAACCTTGCATGATGAGGTTTTAAATAAACTATTCTGAAATTCAGTGCCGAATATTGCAGGAAACTCAAAACACTGGTGAGTTTCTCATTTACAGCATCATGTTTTTTATATTTTATTAAGGGCTTGGAAAGTGGTTATGGAGAAACTATTACAACTGTAAAGTTATTTCAAATAGCACAGTGATCTCTTATATCCCTGTTAATTCCCATTAAGTCTTTATCATAGCAGCAGATGATCAATTGTGTGTGTGTGGGGGTGGGGGGGGGAGATAATGGAACTTAATGTGACTTTTGAACTGCAAATTGCTTTCTTTGGTGTCTGTATATTCATTCAGTCGCACTTTCTGTAAATTACTGCAAGGTTGCTGGTCCGTGTGATCAATATACTATACAAGAGGGAGAGCTATGAAGCTGAGACCAGAAACCGTAGAAAGAAATGTTAACAAAAATCTACTGTAGTAACTGTATTGCAATATCAATCGGAAGAAAACACTCTGCAGTTTAAATTCTTTTAAGCAAAACATTGCTGAGTCAGGCTGTGGGCAGGTATAGCTAGCTGTTGACATTGTTCCAAATGTTCCATAGCGAAAGTCATAGCTTTTTGGGGAAGAACTTTTCTATGGTATAAAAGTGTAGATTCGTTGTATTTATTCACTTCCGAAGCATCCAATTGTATTTAATCCTTGTTATTTAAATGCCTGTACATAAGTCATTTGTGCCTACAAGTTTCTATATTTTACAGTCCTACGCTGTATATTTCAAACGATATAATAAAAAANGTTACGTTTACTAGAGTTGTGTATGTGTATTCTTCCCGACCTCCCCCCCCGCCCACCACTCCCCAACTCGCATAAAAGCAAACTAATTTAGTTGTTGTCGCTACATTAAACATTGACATAAGAGATGGCACAATCAATAATCCCATATCAGAGGGAAGTAAAACAAACCCAATGAGCAACAATCCGAGACAATCATTTATATGAATCAGATCGTTTTAAGTTAGTGTTTTACATTTATTCTGTTCATTGGGTACATGGAATCCAAACAACACAGTCTCTGTTAAGCAGAAACATCTGAGCTGTGCAGAGTTTGTGCTCTGGCCACATGGTAGTTGGTTTGTAATTGTTGGCTACAGTAACATAACTTCTATGCCTCCCATTCAAAACTGAATATCAAGTCAAATTGCATATGTCCCCTGTAAAGTCCTCCGTGCAGCCAATATCTGGGGAAGCAAAAAATTGCCAATTGAGGCATCTGAACAATATGACAAGAGAGGAGCAATGCTGGAAGTAGACTTTTAACAGTTCCTTAGTTTATATTTTATTGGGAATAAAGCATTTTGCGGTGTGCACACTACGATTCCTGTCTCAATATCATGAACACTCGCAAACCTTCCCTTGGATCAAATTAATCTTCCAATTGTCAATGTTTGTTTGAAATTTAGTTTTAAAAACTCCTATATAAGAACATAAGAATTAGGAGCAGGAGTAGGCCATTCGGCCCTTCGTGCCTGCTCCGCCATTCAATAAGATCATGATTGATCTTCTCACCTAACTCTGATTACGTGCCCTATCACCATATCCCCTAATCCCTCTATTTTTCAAGAATCTATCAGTCTCAGCCTTGAAAATGTTCAAGGACTGAGCATCTACAGCCTTCTGGGGTAGTGAATTCCATAAGTTCACTACCCTCTGAGTGAAGAAATGTTTCCTCAACTCTGTTCTAAGAGGCTGACCCTTAATTTTAAGATTGCGACCCCTGGTTATAGATTCTCCTACCAGGGGAAACAGTCCCTACTTTATCTAGCCCTTTAAGAATCTTATAAGTTTCAATAAGATCTCCCCTAATTCTTCTGTACTCTAGAGAATACAGCCCTAGTTTATTCAGCCTATCCTCATAGGTCAGTCCCCTCATCCCAGGAACTAACCGAGTGAATCTACGCTGCACCCCCTCTAGGGCAAGTGTGTCCTTTTTTAAATAAGGAGATCAAAACTGCACACAATACTCTCGGTGCATTCTCACCAAACCCTATACAGTTGCAGCATCTAAACCTTTCGAAATGAACGCTAACATGCCGTTCGCCTTCTTGCTTGCTGCAACTGCAAACTAACTTTTTGGGACTGGTGTACAAGGACACCCAAATCCCTTTGAATACTAACACTATCTAACTTCTCCCCTTCCAGAAAATAATCTGTTCTTTTATTCTTGCTATCTAGGTGAATCATTTCACACTTGCTAACATTGAATTCCATCTGCCACCTACTTGCCCACTCCCCTAGCCTATCTATATTTTGTTGCAATCTTTTTGCATCATCCTGAGAGCTCACTCTGCTACCTAGTTTAGTATCATCCGCGAATTTAGACACATTACATTCAATGTCCTCGTCCAGATCATTGATGTAAATGGTAAATAGCTGAGGCCCAAGCACTGATCCTTATGGCACTCCACGAGTTACATCCTGCCAATTCAAGAATGATCCGTTTATCACTACTCTCTGCTTTCCACCCGATAGCCACTCTTCTATCCATGTTAATATTTTCCCATTAATCCCGTGGGCCTTGATCTTGAGTAACAGCCTTTTGTGTGGCACCTTGTCAAATGCCTTCCTAAAATCCAAATATACCACATGTACTGGTTCCCCCTTATCCAACCTGCTGGATACATCCTCAAAAAATTCTAAAAGGTTAGTCAAGCATGACTTCCCTTTTGTAAAGCCATGTTGACTCTGCCTAATCTTTTTATGGTCTTCCAGGTATCCCATAACTACGTCTTTTATTAAGGACTCAAGAATTTTCCCTACAACTGACGTCAAACTAACTAGTCTATAGTTTTCCCTATTTTCTCTCCCACCCTTCTTAAATAGTGAAGTTACGTTTGCAATCTTCCAATCAATGGGAACTTTTCCAGTATCCACAGACTTTTGGAAGATTATAGACATGCTATCCACTATCTCAGTAGCCACCTCCTTTAAAACTCTCGGATGCAGGCCATCCGGTCCAGGGGATTTATCGGTTTTAAGACCCGACAATTTACCTAGAACCATCTCTTTACTAATGTTAATCTCCCTAAATTGCTCGCTAACATTGTCTTCTTGCTCCTCTATTTTTGGCATGTTTCCAGTGTCTTCTACGGTGAAGACTGTAGAAAAATACTTGTTTAATGACTCTGCCATGTCTTTGTCCCCTATTATAATTCCTCCAGTCTCTGCCTGTAATGGACCCACATTCACCCTTGCTAGCCTTTTCCTCTTTATATATTTGTAAAAACTCTTGGAGTCTGTTTTTATGTTCTTTGCTAGTTTGCCCTCGTAATCTATTTTCTCCCTCTTGATCAATTTTTTGGTCCTCCTCTGTTGTTCCCTAAAGTTCTCCCAATCCCAATATAGTTGTATCTCTTTACTGTTTGCCCATCTAATCTTTTTACAACAATATTCTACATTCAGTATGATATGTATGTAGGATTAAGGAAAACTGATATAAATATTGTAGTGCAGTTTTAAAGCTTTATATTGCTACATTATGGATCAAAATCCTGAGCCATAGCACTTTACAACAATATAAAGCTTTGAATAAGAAAAAGTCATTCGGCCCATCTAGCTCGCACCTTCAACAGCCATCCAAACTTACCTGAAGTATTAATATATTGTGAAGCATTGATTGAGGTATGCTGCATTGTCAGAGGTTCCATTCTTCAGATAAAAAGTTAAACTATGACCATTCCCATAGCTATATTCAAAAAGAGAATGAGGTTTCTCCCATTGTCTTGGCAAACAATCCTCCAAATGGGTCATTCACTTCATGGCTGTTATGGGATGTTGCTATGGGCAAGTTGGCTGCCTCATTCACCTACACAATATGCAGTCACTATGCTCTACGGTAAATCATATGAAGCACTTTGAGATATTTCAATGATGTGATGAGACACTATATCAATGCAAGGATTATTATTGTTTACTCCCACAGTTCCATCACTTAACCCCAGTCTCCTTTCCTGCACAGGTAATATACCTCAAGCCTGGCTTCAACAACAGAAAAATCAATTTGTGATTGATGTTGGATCATTTAAATTGGACAAGTGAAAGGACTGAAAATGATAACTATTTACAAAATACGATTGCAAAACTACTTGCCAGACTCAATGGTCTGCTGAAACATTTTTTTTTAAACAAGACCTTTTCTGTTTGACATTCTTATATTAATGTTAAAGTCCACATTCATCATATTACCATCAAGTAGGGAAATTGCAGATCAATTTCTCCACAATCAATACTTGCAAAATTGAGAGAGATGAGAGCTGTAGTATTGAAGCAATTTTACGTGAATTACCATTCCAAACAAAAACTTATAGTATAGATAGCTTT